GTGAAAAATTTAAGGGGGTCTGAATACTTTCCGTACCCACTGTATATATATATATATACTATATATATATATATATATATACATTAGAATTACAGATCACTTTTTTGGAGTGGGGTTTGTTTCTCATTTGTGCCGACTTAAATTAGATCCTTGTGCGATCCTTTGGTCTTTACACAAAACAACTGGAGTCCATATTAGCAGTGTTTATCATTTTGATTCATCTGTAAACTGAATTTGTACATTTTTCTAGTTTTAGTTACTCTGGAGCTCTGAACTTCAATGGGACATGTATACTGACTTTCTTAATTTTTGCTTTTGTGCAAGGGCTACACCTCCTTCTGGAATGACTGCATTTCATCAGGCCTGCGGGGTTGCATGCTCATTGAGCTGGCCTTACGAGGGAGACTGCAGCTGGAGGCCTGTGGCATGAGGAGGAAAAGCCTGCTTGCCCGGAAGGTAAGACAAACTGTTCAGTTCTCTGGAAATGATCATACGATAGGGAGAGGCTTCCTGTTTTGTATCCCTCCCTCAGTTCTACAAGCATTTAAAGGATGGTGCTCAGTTATTATTAACTATGTTGAAAACAGTTGTGCTGCTTAATATTTTTGTGGAAACAGTGATACACTTCTCCCAGGATTCTTTAATGAATGGTAAGACCAGTATTTATTTGAATTTTTATATATATATAGGTCAATTTCTTTCAGATAAAGTATCACGTAATTCTTAATGAGTGTAAGGCTATTTTTTATTTATTTAATAAGCCAAGCACAATTCCAGCTAAACTTGATCATCATGCACTTTTGTTGTATGAAAAAGCAGCTTTGACATTTGATGGCAATTTTAAGTTCCACTGGGGGGGAAAAAGTTGGGATGCATTTGTCCCAGGACTTTGTGCTTTGATTTGGCAAAGTTAGATATGATTTTTGTTTTACTTTTTTTTTTCTTCCATTCAAAATCCACATGCTTCCTGTATTTGAATGACCTTGCCAGTGCAAGATGAACTGCCATGATACAGGTCATTGAGAACACAGAATGATATAACATTGAGCTTCTATCGCTCTGAGTTTTTTGCATGCGCTCCACTTCACGTGCAGAGCATTGCCTGTGTTGCCAGCGCCTTGAAAGAGGCCTGTTGTTTCCCATTAGTGGCCTCTGGGACAGGAAATTGGACCTCACAAAGCAGGCCTTGTTAATACTGGTGGAGAGATCCATTGCTCACTTCATCCACAGCTGACCATGACACTGCACGAACTAGAGTGTTGGAAGAAATTCACAGTTTTAATTGATGAATTCAGTTCAGGCCACACCTCACAAGAAGCTGAAGAATAACAAAAGGTGAAATTTACTGAATTACAAAATGCAATTGTCACACAGAGTTGTGTTGTAGTCCAACACAAATTGTGACAAAACTAATTATTATTATTGTTTCGCCTGTTTATGCCTATGTATTTTTTAGTTTGTGCAATACTTTTTTTAAACCTCAACTAGCCATATATATATATATATATATATACAGTGGGTACAACAACTGGAGTCCATATTAGCAGTGTTTATCATTTTGATTCATCTGTAAACTGAATTTGTACATTTTTCTAGTTTTAGTTACTCTGGAGCTCTGAACTTCAATGGGACATGTATACTGACTTTCTTCATTTTTGCTTTTGTGCAAGGGCTACACCTCCTTCTGGAATGACTGCATTTCATCAGGCCTGCGGGGTTGCATGCTCATTGAGCTGGCCTTACGAGGGAGACTGCAGCTGGAGGCCTGTGGCATGAGGAGGAAAAGCCTGCTTGCCCGGAAGGTAAGACAAACTGTTCAGTTCTCTGGAAATGATCATACGATAGGGAGAGGCTTCCTGTTTTGTATCCCTCCCTCAGTTCTACAAGCATTTAAAGGAATAGTTCACCCAAAAATGAAAATGTTGGCATCATTTACTCACCCTCGTGTCATTCCAAACCTTCGTTCTTCTGTGGGACATAAAAAATACTGAATAATGCTGGAGTTCAAACAACAGTGGATCCCATTTACTTTCGTTGTATGGATAAATGTAATGTAAGACCAACATTTGACTGTATTGATGGTAAAGGTTTCTACAAATACGTAACTGGACTGAACAAATTCAGAAGATATATTCTTTATGTGCTTGCAAAATTCAGCACTCTGGTGTCAGTACATTTACAATTGCGTAGGTCACTTTCTACCACTAGAGGGAGCTCTTTGCTATTAATTGTGTGTCAGGAGGCCGTTTTTTTGCGGTTGGTGTTGGCTGTTGTAAGTGAGAACTTTTATTATTAAACCGAGCTCAGATGTGTCCCTGGAAAATGCATTACATTTAATATATGAGGTAAAACTCTTTGGTCTTCAGTTGAAGTAGTTTACCTCCTTCACATGATTTTATCCTCTTGAGTTCACTGCCTTGATGTAAGTGGTGCTTTGTGCATTGGGGTGTTTTAATGTGTTCAGTGACTTGTTTCTTGTATGGTTTTTTTTTTAGGTTATATGTAAGTCTGATGCTCCGACGGGGGATGTGCTGTTGGATGAGGCTCTGAAACACATAAAAGACACTCAACCGCCCGAAACCGTGCAGAGCTGGATAGAGTTACTCAGTGGTGAGTTTTGCACAAATCATTTGAGTTTCTCAAACTTTACTGATTACCTCAATACCTTACTTTAGCTTTAGAGAACAAAATAAACATTTCTCTTTAAACTCATTAATTATTAGGCCTATTTATTATAGTGGTTGTAGACAAGACTAATATTTATTGATTATATTATACTACTGTTCAAACGTTTTTTTAATGTTCATGAAAGAAGTCACTTGTTGTCACCAAGGCTGCATTTATTAGATCTAAAATACAGTAAAAACAGTAATTGAAAATAATTAAAAATTATTTTAATATATTTTCAGCAGCCATTGCTCCAGTCTTCAGTGTCACATGATTTTATTATTTTTATTTTATTTTTATTTTTTTATTATCAATGTTAAAAACAGTTGTGCTGCTTAAAGGGATAGTTCACACAAAAATGAAAATTACCCCATCCTAGGTGTATGACTTTCTTCTTTCAAACGAATACAATCGGAGTTATATTAAAAAATGTCCTGGCTCTTCCAAGCTTTATAATGGCAGTGAATGGTGGTTGAGATTTTGAAGGCCAAAAAAGTGCATCCATCCATCCATCCATCCATCATAAAAGTACTTTTTTTAATTTAAGTCTGATTGTATTTGTCTGGAAGAAGAAAGTCATATACTCCTAGGATACACCTAGTAAATCACCTTTTTTGGGTGAACTGTCCCTTTAATATTTTTGTGGGAACCATGATACTTTTTTTCAGGATTCTTTGATAAACAGAATGTTGATATGAACAGCATTTATTTGTATTTATAATTTTTTGTAAAATTATAAAATTCTTTGCTGTCACTTTTGATCAAGTCCATGCATCCTTGCTGAGTAAAAGCATTAATTTCTATCCAAGAAAAAAAATCTTACTGGCCCCAAACTTTTGAATGGTAGTGTAATTAGATTACATGAAATTGTATTGAATTTAATTATTTTAACCATTGCTACCTTCCAAATGTACTGTGCCTGGTGCACATAAAAATGCTGGATCCAGACCAGAGCATGTGATCGAGCGGCGCTGAGCGTATTGAGCGAGCGGAGCGGAATCTTCAGAAAGGCGCTCTGCGCTCTTAAGGAAATATTACCACTCCGCTCCCCGCTCCGCTCACGCTCCGCTCCGCTCACATGCTCTGATCCAGACTCTTTTGGGTCCAGAGTGCGGATTTTGAGAGAGATTTCTGGTACCTACTGTGGCTATGAGCTCATTTGGAAATGTCTCAGCATGGTGAGCCAAAGGGTCAAAGGGTGAGATCAAAGCGTCTGAGAGAAGGAGCTGCCGTCCTCGTTTAGAAAGTGTATAAAAATGTGCTCAGAATTAGATCAGAGCCATAAATTACTGCATGATGATGGCTAGCAAATGCTCTACCACAGTCTGCTTTGATCCTGAGATGTCTGTGCTTCTCTGCTTCAGCACAGGGGCCGACCAACTGAGTTGGTGGTACTCGCTCAAGGGACTGTTGCATGACTTCTGCATTCAAAATTAATGTCAGCAACTTGTGAAAGACTGCAAGCTGCTAAAATCCTGAAGAAAACCTATGAAAACTATTAATAATGTAATAATCCTGTAGGAGCAGCTATCAATAAATGGGACTTTACTAATAAAGTGATTACTTGAAAACTAGCATAGTGATGCATATAGCACTGATTCTTTTTAAATTAATGGATATTGCTTGATATTGGATATTTATTTGTGCATGATCATTTATTTGTTTTTACATTTAGATTACACTTGTCATCATCTAATGCTCACTTAAAATTAAGTCATTAAAAGCATTAATAATGTAATACCAGTGTTACATGCAATCTTTAGCAAATCTTAAAATGAATGCCCATACTGCACTTTATAATGTTGTTATGCCTAAATTCACTTGCATTTAAAAATATATATTTTTTGGCATTTTATTTTTTTTTTATTTAGGCATAGTAGTGTAGAATTAATATATTGGCCAATTATTAGTTATCTGCCATCATTTAAATATGCAAGCTTATTGATATCAACTGGAAATTTAATAATGATGCAATCCTTAATAATTCTAATTATTTTAGTTATTTTCATTTTTTTATATATAATATATACATTTATTATATGTCTAGCTGTCTAGCCATGATCACACAGAACAGAAAAAGGTCTTTTCAAGAACAGTGTGGCCCAATCAAGGAATGCACTCATATCTGACCTTACCTTGTGCTGGTATTGTCTGAATAGTTATGAAAGAATCTTTTATTTACATTTCTGATTTAATAAATTTCTCATTCAAATGTTGACAATACCTGTACAAGATGCAATCAGGCCTCATTCAATTTAATCTCCTTCCTTTACAATGAAATGTCACAAAAATTCAGCCCTTATGGGAGGTTTTTTTTTTATTAACAGCTGTTTTTGTGTTTTTTCTGTCGATTTTTATTATTTTCTTGATACATTCTAGAATTGTAAGTTATAGCCATAGCAATCTTTCAGGAAAAAAGGATCATATATCACATCTCTGGGGAAAAAAACCTCTATTATGCAGTCTACAGTCACAAATCGAGTATTTTAGCGGTCATTTTGACTATGAAAGATTAGTTTAATCTCTGTCCTTGTCAAATGAAGTGAATGTAAGTATGTTTGGTGCTAAAAGTGCTTGTCTTTTGCAGGTGAGACATGGAACCCATTGAAGCTTCACTATCAGCTGCGTAACGTCCGAGAGCGCCTGGCTAAGAACCTCGTAGAGAAGGGCGTCCTCACCACCGAGAAACAAAACTTTCTTCTGTTCGACATGACTACACACCCCCTTACCAATAATAATATTAAGCAGCGCCTTATTAAGAAGGTGCAGGAGGCCGTACTGGACAAGTGGGTGAACGACCCTCACCGAATGGACAAGCGTCTTCTGGCCCTTATATTCCTCGCCCATTCCTCTGACGTACTAGAGAACGCGTTCGCCCCGCTGCTGGATGACCAGTATGATCTGGCCATGAAGAGAGTACGGCAGCTGCTGGACCTGGAGCCTGAGGGCGAGAGCATGAAGAACAACACCAATGAGCTGCTGTGGGCTGTGGTGACCGCCTTCACCAAATGAAGCAGGTTCAGTTCTGATGGACGTGCGATCAAATGTAAAACAGTTGGACTGGTAAAATCAGCTTTGAGAATTGGTAGACCTGGTGTGTCAAAATGGAGTCTCAGTTTTCTTTCCTTGTAGATATTCCTTCCTCGCTGATCTCTCTGCAAGATCTATGATTGGGTTTCTTTGTTTTTTGATAAGGGGACCACTTTATTTTGTCCTCGTTGAATCAGTTGTTCAGTTGAATGCAATTGGGTACCTTCCCACCGTGGACTGTTGGAGCGTTTACCATTTGCATCGCCACGCAAAATGGCTTTTTTTAAAAATTCTTTTCTTGTCTGGACATCTGTTTTGGGTGCCTAACAGATTTTACAATTGGAGAATTAAGCAAGGATATATATTTTTCCCTTTGTTTTGTTAACAGTTTGTGCATTTAATTAAAACGGATTAATCTGCATATGGTACGACTCAACAGATGCTCAAGAAATAAAGTACACTGCAGTGTATCATCATTTTTTGTTTATTAAATTTGTCTTCATATTAATAATGAAGCCTGAAAAGAAACCAAAAAGGACAAAATCCTGTTACGGTAACAGATTAGTAATTTGTGGCAAGTGTTAGTGCTAACAGTGTGTCACATTCACAGCATTCTGATTGCTAGTAAATGCAAATTTAGGGAAGGGAAAAAAAGTTCAGGCTGTTAGAGGACCTGTCCGGTTTTACTGGATATATTATGAGCTTTTTATTATTATAATTTTTTTAAATTATTATTATTACTACCATTCCCTCCGATTCCCTCGATTCTTTCTGTTCTGTCCGTAACACCCCACAACTTCAAACTCTACCTCTTCACACATTTATTGCGGTGATTCCTCATGAGAATACGGATTGATTTAAATGTACTTTTATGTGCCTGAGATTGGTTACAGGATGCATAGCTCTCGAGGTGCAGTATGTACTGTAGCTCTTTTTGACGTGGCATTAATGGAGCTAGATTCAGAAATTGGTTGTAACTCAGTTCCTCGGAGGCCTCATACCCTTTGTATGTGCTACCAGAAACTCAATTTGAGGACCACAAGAGTTTAATTCTAAGAAGTCTGTGCTCCCTGAAAATAAAGGTATGTATGGCATACAGCTTCATTTTCTTTAAACATTTTCCCACCGATATATAAAAGTCCTCAAGGTTATAAGGGAAGTTTTATGGTGGGGTTTTTTAATGTTTTTCATTTCATGTACTCTCACTTCTAAACAAACATGGGATTTAAAAAGAAATCATAACCTTCAAAAATGTGACTTTTATATGTAAGAGCAGATTCCTCCATTTTCTCAAGTCAGTATATTTTTGATAGTATGTTATTATAATGAGCTGATTGGAGGTAGTATGGTAGGATGGATTGGCATTCTGTCACAATCTAGTTTAATCTGTATAGTTTCTTATGTATTCATACTGCATACCATATGAGCATCTCTATCAATCTTCATTTTGCCTGGCATGTAAATCTAGCACAAGCATGTCTTAATTTAGTTTTTTAACACTATGAAGATGTGTTAAAAAAGCCTTTGTTCAATCATCATATTTCAATGTTTAGTTACTGTCATTCTTTTGATTTTTATTCCTTTTTATAGCAATAATGTAAAAATCAACATGCTTTTGTTTTGCTGTTTGTTTCTTTCAGAATGATGGTAAATGCTTGTATGTAGCGATGGTCTGGGAAATCCACCAATGGTTTGGAAGAGTTGACTTAAGACATGGGGGATTTTTGGAGTGTCTGAAAAGTGTCTCGGAGTGAAAGAAAATTCAAATCACGTGTGTAGCTTTAGGACTCAATATAAAGGGACCCCAATGTATATACTTTCTTATTACCATGAAATAAACTACGGTCTTGAAAGTGCCTCAAACATCATCTGTTATTTATTTTGTGAAGAAGCAAGTGCTGCTTTTGATGCATCAGATTTGTTAAATTACTTTGAATTTTTCACATATGGGAGACAAATTCAGACAAATGTCAAAAATGAACAACTACAAATACTATAAGTTAGATTTTTGTACTAAAACAATAGGTCTTTTTAGAATGTCATGTAAATTAATTTTGTATGACTAACATATATACGTACTACTGTTCAAAAGTTTGGAATTGGTCAAATTTTTGAAAATGTTTTTTGAAGGAAGTCTCATATTCTCACCGAGGCTGCATTTATTTGTTGAAAAATACAGTAAACCAAAACAGTAGCATTGTAAAATATTAGTACAATTTACATTACTTTCCTATTTAAGTGTCACATGACCCTTCAGAAATCACTCTAATATGCTGATTTGGTGCAACTAATGTGATGATGCCTCCTTGCTGAATAAAAAGTATTAATTTCATTAAAATAAATAACAGACAAAGCAATTGCAGCCCATCTTCATCCAGAATGTTGGACTTGGCCTCGCCAGTAGTGTGCATTTTCCGAAGCACAGAGGTATATACTTCTAAAGTTAAGCATTTGGAGTTTGTCAGTTATACCACTGAGTCATTTTAAAATCCCAGACTAGCAAACTTGTACAACCACTAATGAGCATTTCAGCTATGTAAATGAATGTATGTTGGCTTCTAGATTGCTGACTATCCATTTGCATGCATAAATCATTGCTATAATTCTAGATGAAAAACCCCAGAGCTGAAACACTCATTGAGAATACGTTTGTGTTTACCCTGTTGAGAGTAAACACAGTTTTATTCCACATTAGTTCGTGAACAGAGTTTCTCTAATGTGAGGGTTCTTGTATTTACACGCTCTTCTTTTTTAGTCATTTTTCATTCAGTCTTCTCCCAAAGCAGTGGATGCTTGTTTGCCAACAATATATGTGACCCTAGACCACAAGACCAGTCTTAAGTCGCTTGGGTATATTTGTAGCAATAGCCAAAAATACATTGTATGGGTCAAAATGATTGATTTTTCTTTTATGCTAAAAATCATTAGGATATTAAGTAAAGATCATGTTCCATGAAGTTATTTTGTAAATTTCCTACTGTAAATATATCAAAACTTAATTTTTGATTAGTAATATGCATTGCTAAGAACTTAATTTGGACAACTTTAAAGACGATTTTCTCAATATTTAGATTTTTTTTTGCACCCTCAGATTCCAGATTTTCAAATAGTTGTATCTCAGCCAAATATTGTCCTATCCTAACAAACCATACATCAATGGAAAGGTTATTTATTCAGCTTTCAGATGTTGTATAAATCTCAATTTCGAAAAATTGACCCTTATGACTGGTTTTATGATCCAGGGTCACATATAGTGTTGAGTCTCCGGTCTATTCTTGTGCTTGGCCTGGTGTGTTGTCTGGTTTCTGCAGACGTTTGGCCATCTGGCCAGCTGTGGTGGAAGGTTGTATTATGTCTGCCTGCACAATAGCCTCACTGCATTAATATTTCAGTTTAGCTCATCTCTTAACACTGAAAGAAAATGCTCAGCCTAAGGGTCAGAAGTGAGCATAACACCTTCATCCTTCAATATGGTTGAAACATGTTGCTCTGGCATTGTCAATGATGACTCATAGTTATGTAAAATTCTGTCTTTTCCTTAAAGGGAAAGTGTTTGACGTGCATATTCCCGCCGGGAAATGTTGAGGCTTGGAAGCTTGTGATTATGTTGACTTATCCAGCGTCTTTGCTGATTTAAAACACAGTCCACCCTGTTAGCTGACAGGATTCTGTTCTATTTGGTGACTTTCTCAGAATATTAACTCGTAACTTCATGAAACTGTGGTCGATATGATTTATAGATTAGCAAGAACTGCTTATTATCAAGCGAGCTGCAAATGTGATACTGGCTCCTGTTTGCATCACAGATAAGAATCTAGGCAATGTTGTGAAATATGAGTTGTGAGGATTCGATACACAGTAACCTCTTATTTGCTGTAGCCTACCAACACTGGAAATATTTATGATTTGTTTATCTGTTTTGGCAAAGCTCTTACGCAGACCTTACAGTTATGTGTTCAACTGCTTGACTGCAAAATAAATATCAATGTTAGTTTCATAACTAACAACAGATCAGAATATACTTTTGTAGTCCCCTTTATAGAAATTTGATTTCAAAAAGCATGAACATAAATAAAAAGCACTGAACATAAATATTCACAATCATTCATGCAATCAATCAATCAATGCAGTTTTACCTGTGAAATTTATTAGTGATTATGATTTTTTTTAAATATCAAGTGACAACATTACATGTAAAATGGCATGTCGCTACAAAGACACTAAACATCTTTATTGTTGAGTATTTACAGTCATTCATGCCAAAAATAAATTCGATAATTCCTTAATTTCACCACTGAAACTCAATAGTGATGATTTTGTAAAAAAAAAAAATATATATATATATATATATATATATAACCTCTGAAATGGGATGGTGATGATGATTAAGTTGTGAAAACAATTTCTAAAAGTACAATAGTAAGGAAATAGTAGAATGGCAAACCTCATGTGCAGTTTCCTTGAAAGCAAGTGACAAAATCCTCAAAGAAAAAAGTTTAGGAAGAAATCTGATCTGAAATTGTGAAATTGTGATCTGATCAATAGACTAAAGATGTTTACCACAAACACCCTGGTAAAACCATACATCCCTATAATCAGATTAATGGTGGCAGCAGCATACTCTGGATTTGACTGAATGGATGATAGGATGATAAATTGCACGCACACACACAAAAGTATGATGGAATGGTTCAAATAAGCTTATAATTCAGGAATGGTTCGGTCTATGCTGAGACATTAATCCAATTGAATATTTTTGGTATGACCTGAACACTGCTGCAAGCCAACACTTTCTAATTTGGCAGAGATGGAGGGAATTTGAAGAACTGAAATGTGGAAAGTTCTTGCAGACATAACTAAGAGTACTGTAGTTGCTACTTGAGGAGTAGATCTACAGCATGAACTCATGGGGGTGATTGCTTTCTTTGTGTTAAATTAATTGTTATTTCAATAAATTCTGGAAGTAAAACAAATTCTAGACATTAAATTAAGGGGAGAGTACTCTCTCAAGGTGCTATGGGCGATGTCAGTTTTCTCTTGCATTAATGTCTATTCCATTTCTATAATTTTCCTTTCTGATTACTATGTCTTCCAAAAATGCCAAAATGTCTCTGCTCGACTTGACATGGCCAGTGGTAAATCTGTGGGTGTCCAGCAGTCTGAAAGTGCAACATTGTCTTCATAGTTAATTTTACTTCCCTTGAAATAATAAATGACCTAAAGGCACATAAGCACCTCCCAAATCAAAACCACCTGGGCCCAAGAATGCCTGTGTACCTCATTGTTTCTATGGATTCCTGCAGATGAAGAGTACAATACTTCATCTGCAGACAGCAGCCTTCTGAATATTACATAAAAAATCCAAGGTTTGCAAAACAATGATTTTATGATTCTCCATCTCCAATCAGTTGTAGGCCTATTACATAAAAGTGAATAATGAGGGCGAATAAATAGTAACAAATATTATATGCTGATATAAGACAACTGTGATCAAGTAAAATTAAAGCTAACAAATCAACAGCCCCTGTGTTAATCATAACATTTCTAATCAGCATTTAAATCATAAACAGAGATGTTCACATGCAGTTGTGTTTGAGAGCAAACGAAAATATCACAGCAGTTTTTTGTTCTGAGACATTTTTCATGTTCCTGTTTGATACAAACAGTCATGAAAGTTCCTGCCAGCCCTGAAAAAGAATTCACTTCATACATTTTCTGTGAGGAACATACAGTTCCTCACAAAAGAGTTGCTGCTTTTAACAAGGTATTTTGTTTATTTAAGCTTCAAGGCATGTGATTCTGTTTGTGAGGACATTGAATGAGACTAAAGGCAGGACAAGCCTGGTCCGAAAAGGAGTTGAGTCTTAAGTCTTGGTTTTTATGATCTGATTTGCCATGCCCAGACAAAACTCAGCTGGGGATTCCCAGAGGTTATGATTCATACTTTTAGTAATTGTAGATTATAGTGACAGAAATGTACTTACATTTAAGTTTATTTAGGCCTACTTATATAAGTACTTGAATTGAATGAACCGGAGCAATTAATTGGAAAAATAAATCTCCGTAGCTAATTACTGCTGTTATGATAAAACCAAAATATAATAGATTAACATCACAACAGAATATAGTAAAATATAGGCCTATCAACTGTTCAAAAGGCATTACCTCTTAACATTACACAATGGGCTCTCAGTTTGAATATAAAATTGTAATTCCACTTGAAATAGTTTTAAAGCTTAAAACAGCCAAATATGGCTCTAAAAAGATCAATTTACCACGAGGCATTTAACAATTGCTCTGTGTTTATAGACAGATCCAGCAGCAGCTAATTAAACAGCAGCAGCGGCGGCGGTGTTGCTCCGCCCACTCCCTGCGTCATTCCCCACGGCGAATCGCGTGCATGTGTTAAAACGGAGCCTTTACTGTTACTGCCGCATCTTTTGTGAAAGAGTTGTCAAAGTTGACCAAAAGGGAGGCGATTTTTCACAATAACACTCAGACGAAAAAAGTTCAGCTGTTCGTTGTGCATGTGGTAGCCTACTCTTTCCCAGATCACTATATGCGTTTCTGAAAGAGTCGACTTGTGAATCGGATTTCATTGATTTGGATTAAAATTGTGGAAATGCAGTCTACTAACACGGTTTAATGCAGTTGTACGGATGGTAAGTTTTAGTTTATATAGTTTATAGCTTCACTGAGTTTCCCTTGACTAAATTCGTATCGCATTTTTGCTTTGTGGCTGGCTGTGCCAAGACATTCACGGACAAATGTTGTCTAACGGACATCTACAGTATGCTGATTTATACATAATGGGTTATTACTACTAAACAACAGTGTTACTGTATCTATCAT